TCCCAGAGGAGTGGAAAAAGGGTACCATATCAAATTTCTAATGGAAGGAGATTTAGGAAACTAACAGCTGGAGAGGTATCACATTACTATCAGTAACTAGTAAAATCTTTAGCCGGATAATTCTTAAAAGAATGACTCAAGCACTTGATAGTATAATAAGGCAAGAGCAAGCAGGATTCAGAAAGGGGAAATCAAGTAATATGTATTGATCACATTTTCACGCTGCATCAAATAATTGAACATAGTAACGGATGGAGTAGTGCAGATTAAATGACCTTTGTGGATTTTGAAAAAGCCTTTGATAGCCTTCATTGTGAATCACTATGGAAGATTTTGCATCACTGTTGTGTACCACAGAAAATAGTAAATTTGATCAAAGTCATTTACTTAGAGTTTCAATGCAAGGTAGCTTGTGATAATTTTAAAACAGAAAGTTTCTTTGTCAACACAGGAGTCAGACAGGGATGCATACTATTCCCCCTTTTTGATCAATTTGGCCATTGACTGGCTAATGAAGGAAGTTATACGAGATAGAAAAAGAGGCATCAGGTGGTCACATCTCTGTTTAAGAGGTTTTGGGCTATGCAGATGACATCAACCTTATATCAAGCCGTCATGTGGACGCTTGGGAAAAGATTCAAAGACTTTCAACAACAACCCTTAAGATAGGACTCAAAATAAACACCAGTAAAACTTAAGTAATGAGAAATAATTTCCAAACAGAAAATCCAATTATCTTAAATGATGAAGCAATAGAGGAAGTTGAAGAATTTATATACCTCGGAAGTAAAGTTACTCCAGATGGAGATTTTGAAAAGGATGTAACATCAAGAATAAACAAAACAAATCAGGCATTTGCTATGCTATGATATATGGAAGTCAGAGGGATTTAATTTGAAGACAAAACTCAAATGATTTAACATCAAGAATAAACAAAACAAACCAGGCATTTGCTATGCTATGATATATGGAAGTCAGAGGGATTTAATTTGAAGACAAAACTCAGAATATACAAGAGCAACATTTTAGGAATACTATTATACAACAGTGATTGTTAGAAAATGACAGCGGGAGAAATTACACGTAAACTTGAGACTTTTCAAAATAAAAGTTTAAGGAGAATTCTACAAATATTTTGTCAGACAAGATCACAAATGAAGAACTGAGGAGGAAAACAGAATGTGCATCACTGACAAATGTTATCAAATTAAGACAATGGAGATGGCTTGGACATGTTTGCAGAATGCCTTGTGATACTCTGGAAAAAACAGCTTTCCAGTGGACAGCAGATGTGAAAAGGAGAAGTGGACAACCTAAGGAAACCTGGACAAGGATAATAGAGCTGGAAATAAAGGAATGTAAACTGACATGGAATGCCATGGGCAGACTGGCAGCAGTGGGATCACTTGTGAATGTCTTATGTGCCAACAGCGACATGAAGAATAGATAGATATAATAGATAGATAGATAGATAGAACAATAGAACATCTTAAAATCACACTGGAGTAAATTGGGTCCCTGTCATGACTATAGGTAAGTAGGAAAGTGAAGGACTCTTATTATGCCAATGGTACATTTATTTGCATAAAGCTAGGGTTTCACTATGCACATCATTTTCCTGCGTAATCTCCCTCCTTATCAGTGCAATTTGTCCAACGGTCAACAAGCTTAAGCATTCCTTCCAAGGTTTTTGGTTGGTCGTGGAGCCACTTTTGCACTGCATTTTGTGTGAGTGTTCTTCAGTAAGCTTTCTTTGTACCCACCATGCACAGACTTAATGAAAGCCGAGCTCGTCATGGGCAAAACCATGACTAATGTTTAATGCAGATGCCACCTCACCTTGGTAATTTGTCTATTTGCCAGAACCATCTCTCGAACTTGCCGAATGTTGTCATCTGTAGTGGAGGTTGATGGTTGTTTTATTTCTTTTAAACTTCTCAAACCAAATAAAACACAGTTTTACATTTGATTTGATTCAAGAACCGACATCACATCACTCGGGGCACTCTCATAAGTGCTCTGTCCCCATCTTCAGCAGCAGCGAAGAGTTCAGATACTAATGGTGCCAGTAGCATTCTGATTAAACGTCCGTCTTGCCTTTCCTCTGAGCCTCGAGCATCTGCCAGAACCTCTCGTCACTCCCAACTGCATCAGTCTCACCACACTGTGGTGATCGATCTGCTCCTCCGCACTGTTTTTGCTCACCCACAAGGCACTATCCACGTCTGTTGATGTTTCTACCATCTATTGTGAGGCTTGGGACATTAGCTTTAACGATCCTGTTGTCCAGAGAACACCACAAAACAGACCCCTTTTCCGGGTAGACGACAGCCCTTATTTCTGTACACCACTCAGTCACTTTGTCTACTGTCACTTGTAGCTCCCGGGCTGTTTGTTCCCTCTCTTTCCCCTGCCTATATGCAAGTATATCATCCGCAAAAGTCAGTATCCTTCCAACTTCTAGGCTTGCAATTGTCACATATCACTCCTGTCGCGTGCCTAATGTAAGGATTCCTCCTTCAGAACCAACAGCACTCAGAGATAATTATGTTGAGTCGTTTGGCTCGTATTGGTCTAAGGGATTCCCCGTGGCCAATATACGATCAACTTATCTCTGGAGTAGGGCAACTCAAGTATTGGCACTACAAAATATATCAGTATATAAATACAATATCTCTAGGCCCACTTGGCTGGACACCCCCACTACTTACTAAAGAAAGCCCCCAGGTTATGATAGTTCATTATCATAACCATGTTAACACATATAATGAAGATACATACATACACAACTGCTAAACACTTAAAAAGGTGACATAGAGAAACCTAAGTCAGCCATGAAAATGAATGCATGTATTTAGTATAATATTCAAAATAGAAAATAGTGAAGTAGATGTCAAAACACAACAGCTGGATTCCAGAATACAATGACTATAATCAACCACAGTTAAACAGTCAGACAGTCTTGGAAGAAGCATATGTTCATCCTTGGAATCCAGTGGAGCTGTGGGGAATATAGCATAATTGAGACATAATTGTCACTTATCCCAGTTCCACTGTTGATGTCTCACTCCGCTCCGGGTAAATCGACTGTCTTTGACCCTGGTACTTCCGCTCAACAGGATCAGGTAATGGAAGAGTACCTCACCATAGAGGACGCAGCAACTGGATAGGCACACAGCACCTTGATAGGCACACAGCAACTGGATAGGCACACAGCAACTGGATAGGCACACAGCAACTGGATAGGCACACAGCACCTTGATAGGCACACAGCAACTGCTCCCACGAGTAACTCACAGTACTGTCCCTGAGTTACACACATACTCTGGCACTGGATGATGTTTGGGTTATATTGTACCCCATCTTGAGGAGGACAGTCTTCTCAATTGGTAATTGGGAGATAATAAGTGGGTGATGGGTTAATTGACTGCTGGGTTATAGGGTATGGTTGGTGGATGTTGGTTGGACTGTGAATCCTCTGCCAGCTCCTCACAAAGGACTCATCCTGCCAAGAAATAACTCAGAATTAGTCATCACCAAGAGGGTAACATCTTGACAGGAAAAACAGAACAAGCATCAGTCATATCCCACATCTGCTTACTCCTCCCTGCTCTCCTGTTTCATTCCTCAGATTGCCTCTCCAGACCAAAAGACATAAGTCTCCTATATTTATCTGTCTGTTTAGTGCAAGAGAAGGCAAGTCAGATATACAGTGGAGATAGATAAAGTGGTCTAACACATATATCACTCTCCCTCTCCCCCTCACTCTGCACACAGACACCAATATTTACTGTCAGTACCTGCATTCACTAGCTTTCCCACCGCCCCAGCACTCATTGATCAGGGTCAAGCACACACATATTTTGATTAACAAAGCCCTGACCCAATTCTGTCCCCATTTCGTATGTACAGATTCTCTAGTTAGTTTCAAACGTACATCTTTGTAAGGGTATTAAGTTTTACCAGTATGGGTGGTTTATTGAGGGCATAAGTTATTTAGTCTGTACAGTGGGAGATCTACGTTCGAATCCGCTTCTCTAGCGATCAAGAACGGTCGAACTAAGTGGGATCACACAGCCGATACTGATTTTTCTACAGCAGTGACTACTTTACAGACATCATTCTAGGTACTCGTAAACTATAATTAACTTACCCAAGCATATGTAAAAACTGAGACATTCCAGATTGCCTTGAAAAGTGAAATTTATACAGGCACAGATTAACACATCTGGACGCTTGAGAAGCTGGCAAGGAGAATAGCGTCACTTAGACACTTCAGGCGTTGGTACAAAAGAAGTCCCTTGTATACTTGTGCAAGTAGTAAATCGGTTTCCACGAAACCTCAAATAACTCCCTTAATATATCTCCAAGAGATATACATTTAAAAGTGGAGTTTAGTTAAAGTAACCAGAAAAGGCAGACATAATAATGTTGTCCAATACAGGCCTATATATATAGATATAAGGGACTATATATTTCTGGGCGAGTCCAAGTTTGAATTTTGTGCAGATTACAGGTAAGACAGGTTATCAGCCTTACAGACCGATGCGTAATGGCTATCATTTCACTAGAGCAATCTTGCTCGTATACACGTTAAAGAACACAGGCCAGATGGCGGATCCCTGTGGCAGTCCTGGGGCCAGACTGTGGTTCTGAGGTCCTTGAGCCCAGTAAAAGAGCAACCCGACGTGAATAAAGGACAGCTGCAATCCAATTCACCATCCAAGTTTACTAAGCCTGGGGACCACCAGATTCACTATGGCTAGACCCATTGTGTGAGCAGAAATTATGCAGAGCAGGTAATTTTAATTGCGATCTGTTGATAGATCTTTCACACTAAAAACACAACTACTCTCTCTCTCTCTCTCTCTCTCTCTCTCTCTCTCTCTCTCTCTCTCTCTCTCTCTCTCTCTCAATCACACACACATACACAGAGATTTGCCCCTCTGCTTAATGATTATAGTAACCATATTATTCTCTCTTCTGCTCAGATAACAAAAATGCCGGAACTACAGATGGATGTTGCTGTAGCGAACAGATTTATTTCTAGTCTGAGTAAATCTCTGCAGGCTTTGTGTCACGGCTGTATGGATTTTGACTCCGGCATAGAAATTGTTGGATACATAAATGTCAACATTGACAGTGGCAGTAAAGTCGACTATGTCCTCAATGAGAAAGTGTTGAAAAGCACAACAAATTCCATGACTTTTGTGAGCAACAGTTTCCTGGCTAAGAAAGAACAACAGAAGCAAACCAGAGATGGTGCCTGCTCACCAATCCCAGATCAGCAGCCGCCTGTTTTGCCACAGTATCAGAATCGTTTCAGAGGGTCCTTCCATGGTCCCCACCCTAGAAACATGGGACAGATGTCTTTTGCGCAGCGAGGTTCACAGAAGCGTTCTTGGCCAGGAATGGAGAGAGATTGGAGGATGTCACCTAAAAAACAAAGGGAAGGAAGGCTGCCACATGAGTCCTCTGCCACCACATCTCCAGGTGCCTACCCTCATTTAGTCCCTTCAGCATCCAGTCAGAGTCCAGCAGATGGAAGTTTCAAATATCCACAAACATCAGGTCAGAGTTCAGAAACAAATACATCAGATGACCGGCCAGAGATTAACATTAAAAAAGAAATTTTTGACAATGACAGTGAGAAGACCAGCCAGAATGACCATGATCCGTCCCAGATATCTGATCAAGAAACAAATGAATATTTAGATGAGGCTTCAAAAACTAACAATATTCGTATAAAAAATGACCCTGATGCAATTACTTCAGCAGCAGAGGATGAATCCCATGCATCTGAAGGGGCTGGTAATCATCCAGATACTGACTTTAAAGGCACATTTCTTGATCCTGCTGTGTCGGAAGACAATCCTGATAATACTGAAGAAAACAAACATGAGACAGATGAGAACATTGATGATCACCTTGGCACATCACGCCTCACTGGAAAAGCAAGTCATGATTTAGAGGCCGACAATGAAGATCAGTCTGAAGCAACTGAAGACATAACAGCAGAAAATGCTGCCATGGGTTCTGAAATGCCAGCTGATTATGATGAGGCAGGAGAGGAAGGGACATATCCTCAGTCTGTTTACTCGGACGCAGGCGAGGGGTCAAGTGATACTGGTCAGTTTGAAGTTATTGAAATTGATGACGAAGATGAAGATGTTCAAGCGATGTTTGGCGGATCTCGTAAGTATTTTTTCCCCCTTTTCATTAAGCCATTTAATGCCAACCTTATTCTATGAACATATGAATGGTGCTAGAGAAAGACTAGATGTTTCACATAATTACATATAACTGTAGCCTGTTCTCGGATAAATAACTTCAAATAATTTTCAGTTATTCCGAATAAAGTTTGAATAAAAATATCACTTATAGGACTGATGAGAGAGTTTTAAAGGGAGCCTTCTCACTTAGTAATATTCTTTCTTACATTTTGATGAATTCCAGTGATGCTTTTATTGAATCTAGGTTGTAAATGTAGTTTTCATCTTTATAATTTTCTGATAATTTGAGTTTTGAAGGTATATAATAGTTTCTCTTTCATGTTTTATATCCTCTACTTTTTTTTTTCGGTAATGCTGTTTTTACTTTCTTATCTTGTAGTGGTTACATCAATTTGTGCATTGTGATATTTTGGCATATCACATTTTTAGATTTAATAACAGATTGTGTTTGTTTTAATAAATGCAGTTGAAATTCTATGGCATAAAGCTAATAAAGTTTATCTTTTGGTCTGTCACCAGCTTTGCTTGTAGCTATTTCTAATAAGTTTCTCTACGATACAGTGTCATATCATCACTAAGGTTTCCTGTGGCCCCCCACCCCCCATCTTCTGTCTTTCTCTATACAGTAATTCATTTGCACTTACCGGAAATAAGTCCATATTTCACATATTTCAGTTTTATGAAATATGTGTGGTAAATGATAGGTTTTTTTGAAAAAAAAGAATAGCATACATTTCCTTTAGCTTACAGACAGGAAATTTGTGGCATAAAAGTCATTTAAAGCCTTAGAAAATGTTTAAATTTGATTCTGTATACAATAGAAAAAGGTTGGCATAATTACTGATAACTTATGTGATTCAGCTTTTCACATGTTTCTCAGATTGGAAATAATAGTGTCAAATCAGTTTTACTGTACCTCAAAACTGCATTTGTCTGTAAATAGAAAGATAATAAAATACCACACACAAAAAAAACGTTCCGCACAAAATAGATCTGAATGGTAGTATAATCATGTGGCAAACCAAAAAAAAAAGACAGCTGAGGTGTGCAAATGCAGACCTGCAAACCTTTGGAGTCACCAGTTTTAACGATAAGACCAGCCTTAGATATGTACATACAGACCCACAAACCTTTTGAGTCACCAGCTGGAAAGATGTACATGCAGACCTGCAAACCTTTGGAGTCACCAGTTGGAAAGATAAGACCAGCTGTAGAGATGTACATGCATACCCGCAAACCTTAGGGTCACCAGCTGGAAAGAAAACGCCAGTGGCAGAGATGTGCATGCAGACCTGCAAACTTTTGGAGTCACCAGCTCGAAAGATAAGGCCTGTGGCAGAGATGTACATGCAGACCTGCAAACCTTTGGAATCACCGACTGGAAAAATAAGGCCAGCTGTAGAGATGTACAAGCAGACCTGCAAACCTTTGGAGTCACCAGCTGGAAAGATAAGACCAGAGGTAGAGATGTGCATGCAAACCTGCAAATCTTTGGAGTCACCAGCTGAAAAAATAAGACCAGCCGTACAGATGTACATGCTGACCTGCAAACATTTGGAGTCACAAAGTGGCAGAGATGTACAGGCAGACCTGCAAACCTTTGGAGTCACCAACTAGAAAGATAAGACCAGCCGTAGAGATGTACATGTAGACATGCAAACCTTAGGAGTTACCAACTGGAAAGATAAGGCCAGTTGCAGAGATGTACATGCAGACCTGCAAACCTTTGGCGTCACCAACTGGAAAGATAAGGCTGGCTGTAGAGATGTACATGTAGACATGCAAACCTTTAGAGTCACCAACTGGAAAGATAAGGACAGTGGCAGAGTTGAATGGAGGTGAATTGCAGCAGTAAACCTCAGGTGCTAAAACACTGTGGGGGGGGGGGGGGGAGAAATGAAGTTGCTGCAAATCCTCTTTAATATTTTTTTGTTGACTTTTAGCTCTAGATTAAGGGTGTCCGTCTTTTATTGGGGGGGGGGGGTTAAAAACAACAAATGCTTTTTTTGTGTGTGTATGGTAATTTTGTCAGGTTTGGCGAATGTTGCTTTACTTTTAGTTGACCTAGACAATGGTATTGACAGTGTTTAGAAAGCAGCAGCCAACTGCTGAATGTAATATTGTCTAGTAAAACCACAGACAGCCAACAAATGTTTGGGTTGGTTTGCAAGATTCTGTAGAAGATCTGCAACTAACTTTTCAAGAGCACTTAATTTACACTGTTTCGTAAGATGGGCTGCTTTACGGGGAGGTACATATTTTCAAGATTACAGTTTTGTTTCAACACATCTTAGTTGAGCAATGTCTAAGCCAAGCGGTTACAATGCAGAGTTTTCTGGAGATCCATGTTAGCGTCCTTGGTAAGGTGATGGCAGTTCTTCTGTCAGGAGTAACAATTAAAATGCTGACTGACACAGCTCAGGGCGAATGCACTAGTTACGCAGCATAAAATCTCAGGCTCAAGCCAAATAAGGTAAAATAAATGCAGTAAAGACAGTTTAGTTTCTCCTTTTTCCCCCATTGAAAATCATTGTATCACCATGTAGAAAGTTTGCCTAACGTAAATTCACTTCCATGAGGGCCTCCTCTTCTTAGCATTCACTTTTTTTAAACTCCGGCAGAAAGTTCTGATTGTTTTTTCATTTGAGGGAGTTGGTCTTGTTCCAGAATTTGAGTTTTGCGCATACTCAACCTCAAAGGAAACTCCCTTAATTATTTACCTTGTACGACATACCTGTTAGGGAGGTAGTGTGTCTACCCCTCCTCCCCAAATAGGACCCTTTTCTTTCAACTCACATGTTAAAATGTATGTTAAAATTTGGAGATGGCGCACATGAAGGATATGCAGTTGGCTTTTTTGTCTGTTGCGATGTAAGTTGGTTCCATAACCTTTAGTGGATGTTGCAAACCAACCGTTGACCTTTGTTGGCTTTTTGTGGTGTTTCTAAACAGTCCTACCTTTAGTGGTTTGCCGTTGCTTACTGAACGATCAACATTTAATACTGCTGTCAAAATCAATGTGAAGTGATCAGCTGCTGTTAATTTGATAGTTTGGAATTATTAACAACATAAGTACTTGCTCTAAATTACACATGGGAAAAGCTGAATCTGTGTTTTAGTTATTCTACAATTATTGCATAAATTGTGTATGTACATTTTGTCATTTACTTAATATATTCTGTGAGTGCTGTAGAAAAAAAAAGTCAATTTATGTGTAGCCTACCTCACCTCAAATATTAAAGTCTAATGATTGTACACGTTTGTGGTAAGTTTGGAAAGTATTCATTTAATTGTAAAAGAATTGCATACATTACATTAAGACATCTCAGCTTTTTGAAAACTGATACTTTTGCTCAGACGGCTGTTTCTTTCTTACAAAATGCAAGGTATAGAATGCAAAATACAAAACCGAATAGTAAAATATAGTTTGAGAAGGAAATAAATCACAGGCAAACATTTGTAGGCTTTCACCTTCCCTTTACCCTGGGAAGCTGCAAACCAGGCACTTCTGGTAGGTTTCAGTTCTCCATAAATGCTTCTTTTCCAGCATGTCTGTGTGGGCATGTTTATGATATGTCTAGTTAACACCATTGATTATTTTGTGTGCCTGAGCAGCGTTTACTAGGTCAGGATATGACTGTTTCTAGAAAAAGCATTTAGGGGGTTTTCTCTGTCAGCTGATGGCTTTTTAAAAAGTCATTATGATGCCATAATTGTCCATAGGCCACAGTGTTAAAAGTCACATGGTCACCGCATGAGTCTTTTGATATATATTTTTTAAGGCCCTCTCTGTTTATTGATTTCCTCCTTTAAGTATCTTTATATCCTGAAAAGAATTTTTTTTTAAATTACTATCAATCAGTTATTTAAGATTTTTTTTTTTTAGTAACCTGTGCAAAATCAGTTTAAAAAAAAAAAAAGGATTTTCCCAGGAATTCCCAGGGAACCTGACTCTTTTTTAGAATTTCCGGGGTGAAATGGTTAAGTCAGAAATAATAGGTTTTATCACTTGTTGAAAACAGTTTGCATATAATAGGTTTTATCACTTGTTGAAAACAGTTTGCATTGTTGAAGAAAGAATGCTGATATAAGATATAAGTTTTATTTTATGCAGACAATGGCAGAAGAGACTTAAATTATAAGCTGACATATAATCAAGAAGCAGTGTTAGAAAATTGTTTTTATACCTGACAACCTGATAAAAGAATAACAGACTTTAGATCCCATTTCGAGTAGAAAAAAATAGACACATTGAGCATTTCCAAGATACAAAGAAGATTGAGTAATGGTGTGGAACTAAATCCTAAAGAGTTAGTGTTGTGACAGCATCACTAAGGATAGACATAGAAACTGTTTAAAACAGAAAGCTATTCATGTACTTGAGCTCAAGAAATCTGCAAACACTTTTGAACAAATCACTAACAAAATCAGGTGCCAGCAATCTGTCACAGAATAATAGTGTGTAAAAGGTTCACTATTGAGAGACAGCTGGCTCAATGTTTAAGAATGCTGGGCTGTCATTTCAGGAGACTCAGGTTCGAATCTTTGATAAAATGATGGATTTTTTCTGTTAAAAAAAAAATCCTTCACAGTTCCAGGCAAAGGTACTAGCTATGCCTCCATATATTCCGAGACAACACAGAAATGTTTTACACCAGTATAAGAAACAGTGGTAAATAGAAGCAGAGACAGTTTATGAGTTGATATTTCTAATGAAATGTGCATGTATTAAACAGAGATGTCACCCATTCACTGCTGTAAGTTACTCAGCATCTTACTGACTTGACGTACATAAGATCTTCACTAGCCACACCATGACAGGGCTATCTTATTGTATATAATGAGGCAGTTCTCTGGGAAACAGTTGAAAATTTGAGATGTGCTATCCACATGCTGGTTCATGGAGGCAGCACAACTGACCACATGAAGCCAGTCACAAAGAACATGATGAAAATTGCTGACTGGTTAGAGAAATTAGATGTGGACAATAGACTTTTATGAGAATGTTTTGAGGAGAAATGAACTGGCAAGCTTAGTGACAGCTGGCAGACTTGTTGGGAAAAAAATAGCAAAGGTAGGGTAGATATATACCTGGATGAATTGACATAGCATGGGTGGAACAAGAACACAAATCTGATCTGTGGTTATAGGAGATGATGCCCCATGACTGCCTATGCTTATCGACAGGAACTTTGTGAGGATGAAGGTGATTGTAACATGATTTATAAATAGTTAGTGACATTGGGATGCAGAGGTGCTGAACTACGTGTGATGATGTACCAGGAACAGGGCTCAAACTGCTTAAGACCTATCTTTGTCTCTGTGATCATTCTAGAAAAGGTTCCCAAGCTGGGGTCTGGCCAGCTTAGATAGAATCAGTGTTTCGTTCAGAGTCAAGGGTGCCTCTGCCTGAAAGGCAAGGAATCAACAGTCTGCACCCTAATAAGTCCTGGAACAAGACCAAACCTCAGATGCGGATGAATTGAGACTTTCCGCTACAGTTTATGGCTGGTAAACACGAGGAAGCAGAAGATAATAACAACAATAAAGCAGCCTGTGAAAACTAATTATGCTGGGTACTGGATTGTGTGCATTTTAGATTGTATGTCTGAAACCATAACCATATGTGTAGTATTATGACAACATAAACCACTTTTTTTTGGGGGGGGGGGGGGGGAGTAAACATTCTGTAAATACTTAAAGCACTCTGAGTTTTTAAAGTCTCTAATAATCATATTAATTTCAATCACATAATATAAATAGCTTCTCTTAAGGAATTATGACTCTTTTGTTGTCCGTTGTGTAGTTATTGTATTCAGACTCATACATGCATGTACTCGCCAAACATGAAATTTATACACACAAATCTGAACGCTCGAGTGCCATCATAATTTAGGTAAGAGGTTTAATGGTTTTATAAAGATGTTACTTTACTAAGGCATAACTATCCTTTATTTATTTTCTAGTACTTACAGTTATCTATTGTGTATGTGTGTGTATTTAAAAAAAAAAAGATTTTCCCAAACTTGTTTTGTCTTTTTAATTAAAGTTGTCACTGAAAATGCATCAGTTCATTTTATTTAGCTGCATTGTAGTATACATATTTACCATAACTGTTTTTAAGTGTTATTTCCAGGAAAAAAAATGTAAGTCCTTTTTAACAGTGACAGATGTTTATGTGTGTGTTGTCTGATCACACACTTATGCTGACAAATACCCACCAACCAAACTCCTTATATATTGGATAAGACAATAGCATGCACACATATTATTTGTTTTACAATAATGTACTTTTCAATTTTGTTCGTTGAAATTTAATTTTGCTGTCAAAGTGGTCTTTATATATTTAAAAGAAGAAAGAAACAGACTATTTTTAACTCGTAACCAACAAACTAATTCAGGTTAAATATCTACATGTGGAGTTATTGAATTCTTTTTTTCCCCTCTTTTTCTTGAACTTTGAAAGTCTGTCACACTTGTGCATGTGTAATTTTATATTAAATTTGTCACATTCATTGTATTTATAATGTATTCAAAATTCTGAATAATTATCCTAAAAAGCTGAATAATTATAAATATTTAAAAAAATGATATTTTGATGTCATTGTCATCAGAAAGCAGCATTTTTCAGTGATTAGTGGATATTGAAAAGTTGCAGACAAAATGTGTAGTAATTTTTTTTACACCTTGAAAGAATATTGTGTTACTTATATTGTTGCGATGGTTTTGTTTTCTGTTGTTTTTCAACAGTAGACCTGCACAGTCATGTGAACAAGTGCATTGTGCGCACACATTAAACATTTTTTTTTTGGTTTTGTTTTCGTAAAGAAAAAAGGTTGTAAAAGTTGTTGTATGAAACAAAATATGTTGATAATTGTTGTTTATTTTGTATGCGCATTCAGACTGTTCTGTTTTATAGCATAGGTTTTGGTGCTAACAGATTGAAGGTTTTTTTTTAGTACCTGCCTATGAGTTTATGTAATTGTACACATTGCAAATAGCGATGAATCTTTTCAGGATTTAAGGTTTTATAAAAAAAAATATGTTCTTATTTTTCGGGCAGAGATTAACTCTGTTACATTTGACTTATTTCCATGTTATACAATAATATGTTTAACTGTTTTAGTACTAAGTAGCAACATCACATGTTCATTTATATAACTAATTTAACTGTCTGGTACAAGAGAGTATTAAGTATTGATAGGCTGCAGATTTATCATAATCAGAATTTGTTTTCCACTTGACACTTATATAATCATACTATATTAATGATATTGTATTTACACTGTATATATTCTGAATTTTTTTGTCTGGTTTTTTTTTTTAATCTATCTATTTGGTTTTTTGTTTTATGTCATTAAATTGAGTTTTAATGAGTTTTAACCAAACCTTGTGTTAAAAAAAAAATTGTTTGAGCTACATTTAATTATTTTATCCGTGAACATCTGACCTGTATTCTCACTTTTATGTAATCTAGAGTTGGTACTGGCAGTCGGGTCTCTGTAAGATTGCTAGTACACACAGATTTAAATTTTGGTGTAAAAAAAGTGAGGGATGGAGTTTTTCATTCTCCAAAATACAGTTGGTCCAATAATGTGAAATCTCAGATACATCACAGTACAATCCACATGTCTCATAGAATGACATAGACTTGTTTTTCTTACAGGAGAATTGTTAAGAGGTTCTTAATATTTCTTTGCATATACAAATTTATTTGGCTACATTTATGTGTGTGTAAATCCGTGTGTAATATATTTGTAAATGGTTGCCTGAGAGAGGTGTTAATCTGTTGGCTTGATCATGAACACATGTATTAGATACACCAAATCTTCCATGCTGCACTAGCCTACAACAAGAAAGTCATCTGTGATTTCTTATTTCAGGTGACATACAGGACAACACATTTGATTTTCCTAAACATCTTGGCTCTCATGGTCTTGATTCTCACACCAGGATTCGATTTTCACAAACAGTGGATGCGGCGCATTGGTCACACATCCAAGATGCCCAATCCGATTCATTTCACTCATTCGATTTCAAGCCAGTTAAGATACCGTCGAAAGAGGACTGCCGTTTTGATCCGGTTACACATCGCTATATTTGTCCAGCTTGCAATAGTTCATACCTAACCTATGCATCCATGTGCGGACACATCAAGCTGAAACACCAGGGACGGTATGAGATACACTGTGAGATTTGTGGGAAAGGATTCCAGCGGAAGATTCACCTATTGGGTCACATGGCTATGCATGGGCAACCAATGAATTTTGAATGTTCAGTATGTGGAGCTAAGTATGCTCACAAGACTTCCCTTCGTGCACATGAAAGACTTAGTCATGGAATTGTGCAGTGAAAATTCATGACTGTGGATAGCTTCATTCAGCATAAGATATCTTGTGTAAAGAGTGATAAACTTCTCACACACACACACACACACACAAATTGGCTTCCCTGAGAACTTGTTAATGTCTTCACACTTCAAAAACAGACTTTGCCGCCAAGAAGCTTGAATTATGTGTTACTACAAACACTTAACCAGCTGATAAACTGGTTTCTTGTGATGGTATTTGAAATGAGAGCTAGTTATGTCTATGGCGACTACTTTTGTAAATTTTAACATTAGCATATTTAAGGGCAAGCTAAAACTGCTGTGTCGGAGAGGAATTTACTATAGTTATATTATTTTGTAGAGATATGTGGTGTTGTTCTTATAGCACTGGTTTAGCCAGGCAATTCACAGTGTTCATTGCCTCAGCTCTGGCATGCAGAACATATCTCCTAGTCCCACAAAATAAGACACCAGACAAATTTCTAGATTTTCTGTGAATCTTCTGGGAAAGACTTTTTCAGAATAAGGGAACAGGCCAGTCTGCCGCATTTTATGGGCTTTGAGATGATTTCACATGCTAGAGCATGTTATGAGGCTATCTTTAGTTTATCTGGTATAGTTGGGGGAAAAAAAGCATGAGCCATGAAACTAGTTGGAGGGGGGGGGGGGTCCTGGATGTTATGCTAGAACAAATTGCAGTTAGAAACAGGAAAAGTTTATGCCAGTGATTCCCAGTAGTTATTCACAAAGGCGAAGTGGAATATTCGAAGGTACACAAGTTTTATTTGTTTGGTATCTCTTACATACAAATAGTCATACTTTTACTTAGATTATGGCGCAGTGAAAACATTTTCATTGAAAAAAGGCGCAGCGACTAAGAACAGTTTTGGAAACACTGGTTTATGCGTTATCTGTTATTAGCTGCATATCTGTTTTTTATTTTTTTTTTATTTGTGTGTGCCATTTTAAAATAATTTTTTTTTTTTTTTTTAGTGTGATTCAAAATATTTCTGAAAGAGATGGTACAGACATACAATTTCTTTTATTTCAGAAAAACTTAACAGACATTTGAGAACAGGTATCCATCATCAGCCTCCACATTTAGATATGTTTGAAGACCCTTCATACACGAAACCATTAGTTGACATAAATACATCTGTTTTGGCAAAAAACAATCTCTGGCAAAGCACAGTGAGTGCTGTACCACAAAGACTGAATACCATGTCCAAAACATCACATGGCAGGCTAAATTCTTCACAAGTTTCAGAACCTGGACCCAGCCGGCAGGATTACTTTGAAGACACCAGTTGTCAGTACTGTTCACTGCGCAACTTTTCCAAAAGCTCCCTCAATCGCCACATGAAAGAAATGCACCCAGAGGTGCCAGTGTCTTATCCGTTCAATTGTGCTGAATGTGGAAGAGGATTCTTTTCACAGTCAGGGCTTAATTATCATATGGATAGCCACTTTGGCAAGTCAGAATGTGCAATTTGCAGCCGAACTTTCAAGTACAGCAGAAATTTGAAAAGGCATCTGGAAATAATTCATCTCATGAAGGAATGCAGACAATGTAAAATTTACATTACTGGCGACAACTTTAGAGCTCACATACTGCAGTGCCCAGGGAAACCAAACACACAGAAATGAATATTGTTGAATTTTAGAGGCCGAAAATGTATTTTAAACATTTCATTGACCATTACCTTATTGGCCTTTGGCTATTTATGTTCAAAAAATATTGTGTGATCCTTTCTTATTTATAAAATAAAAAAGCTTGGTAAATCCTTACCTGTGAATGTTTTGTTTCTTGCAGATTTTAATGGTAATCCCTACGAAAGAAGGCATTCTGTTGCATTTAGATCTTCACAAAGATCGAGTCTGCCGGAAGCATCACATTATCAGACACAGACAATTCCCACAATGTTTGACAATGTTGGTGCAGACAGATCCATAGGGTTTTGTTCCTTCTGCTGTATACCACTTCCATTTGGGATTTCTTATCAGCAGCACTTCATTGAGGTTCATTCTAAGAAGTCACAGGGAGCATATTTGTCCTGTAGCGAGCCATTTGTGTGTGATATTTGCAACAAAGGATTTATCACCAAAGAACGGCTGCGTCAACACAGTTCAGTGCATGACAGCTCCTATATCTCTTGTTACATTTGTGATGTGAAATTTAAACACAAAAAGAACATCAAAAGACATATAGAGACAACTCATGGCTTGAAGAAGTGTAGTGTTTGCTTTGGCATGTTTAAAATGGGAGAAGAATACAGTTTGCATATTTCTTCCTGCGAGGGGCCTGGAAATGAGATGATGACTCCACAAAATATCAATGAATAGTAGTGTCACAAATTGTTCAGTAGCAATGGATAGGGTGACTTGGAGTGAGTTGTTTGAGGGTCTGTGCTACATTGGGGTATGAAGGGTATGTTGTATGAGTTGAGTTAAGAACTGACAACACAGCACTCAGGACATTCCCATATGTGCTCCATCCTCACCTTCAGAAGTCAACAAAGATTTCTCGTGCCATTGGTACCTTACGATACACAACAGTTTAGACTGAAATTATTTTGTGTGATTAAAAGCCAAAACTATGCTGTTCTTAAGGTCACAAATTATTGACCAGAAACATTTAAGAAGAGATGGGGGTAATGATGCTGTTTAGGGATACTTCAGTAGTACAAAACTTCAGTGAAAAAGCTGTGGTTTACATCTGTAAAGGATGCATTTGTAGCTACAGTGATGATAACTACTATTGTGTAAAGTACAGTGGATGAGGATGTTCTTTAACTTTTTATTATTCACTCTGATTATATCCAACTTTTTGTGATATTTTGAAATTAGTTATTTATATGTCCATGCCATTAAATTCACCTTCATTTACACATCATATCATCCTACTTTGAATTATGACACATTGTGATACATTTTCTGTATTCCCATGCATCTGGTTTAAATTAGCATTTCTATTGGGACTGGCGTTAATCTTTGGCTCACCCAAGCAGACTCACAAGGCATGATTCAAGGCAAGGTTTGCTTCATTCTTGGTCTGGTCCCTGCTTTTATGGATAAATAGTCCATTACCACTAGTGTAAACAGATGAGAGATTGACATTGAACAGACTGTTCTCTAGACCATTGCAGTATGAAAACAAAACACACACCACACAGGGTCCTATGTCTGGTTATGTGTTCCTGACATTAGACATTGTCTTGCCTTAATCTGTAATAAAGTAGTTGCAAAAACATTGCAAGCAGCTGTTTCAGATATAATGTTTGTCACTGATGAAAGTGAATTTCTTAGATGATGGACATTTGTTTATTGTCTTTTCCTTAGGGATAGTTCACGTTCAGTTTTCATAATGACGGTACAATGACTCACCAGTGGTAAAAATTGTATTTGGTCATAGAGATGCCAATATCTTTCTCCCTAATCTGAAACTTATTGCTACTTAGGTAGTGTTATTAATTAATATTTTTTCAGATCATTGCATGGGTATTATACATGTTGTTTAAGTGGTAGTCTGTTTTTGCCTTATATTTTTCTGGCTGTTCTCTCTGTTTCTCTCTCTCTCTGAAATCTGTAAACTTGACTTGCCAGCCGACTAATCAATAAAAGCAGTCAGTTGCTCTTATAAGGAATCATTGTACAGTCCAGTTACATCAAGTTTCCTACCAGCAACAGTATTTATCATTTTTTTGGTGTATCTGGGAGAGGGGTATGTATGCTTTAAAAGCTGTTTTTTTAAACAAAAAGTGAAGTCTCTTTGCAGTCTGTGCTGGGGCATATTTGTATTAAGCACAGTCTATTGACCCGTGGTTGGTTGAGGGATCTGAGACGGCTCAACCTGTATCATAGAATATATAAACCAAGTGTTAATTTATCCACGTGTGTCTTTTTGATTGGGAGGATGTTTATAGACCAGATGAATATTAGCTAAGCTTGTATGCCTAGTTCTCAACAGATTTTATTTGCATTTTACGTTACATTTTTAATGCTTTCCTATAATCAAAAATACACATGTGAGAGTATATATTATGCAGGCAGTCTCTGGTCGTTGTTACTCACCGATTAGCATGTTTATTGTAGCAGGATTTTAAGCTTTGTTGTTGTTGAATACATGAGACTATGTTTGTTGTATTACATCTACACTTTCATATAATGTTACATTGAAATTTTTAAACTTTGAACAAGAAAACAAAGAATAAACATGCTGAACTGTTTGACATATCTGTTTTGTTATTTCTGACTGGTTTTTATGGTTCTGAGGTTTCCTTATCAAATAGTAGCCTGCAGCATAAGGTCCATTATAATTGACTGTTGTGTGCACATAAATATTGTGCATCCTTATTTTTTCCTTTTGTACTTGATTGTGTATTTGAGGTATCTGTTAGGTTTTAGCATATCAGGTTTTTAAATTTATTATTTTTGTACAAATTATAATTGTGGAATAATCTTCATGTTATGTTATATTTTGGATTCAGTCGATGTGCATAATACGGATTTTACCCCCCATTTTATAACTTTCCCCAGTAGCCTTTTCAAAACATTCAGCTTTTATTTTTATGCGTGTCTTTAACGGTTTATTTGAGCTTAAATTCAATTTCTAAACTGCTGTACATCTACTTTAATAATAATTTCTATGATATACACTGGCAACTCTTGGTAAAACTTGAAATGTTAGTCAACAGATCATCCTCAATGCATATCCAAACATTCAGTCCATTGGATAACCTTTTGACTGACACCATACTGTAGCAGTTGGCGACAGCTAATCTTTTGGTTGATTATTATTCTTTTGCTTTTTTGTATAGCGCCCTTGTCTGGCATCATGCCTTTTGACTTGTCATTCTTGCTGTCTAGTCAAGGATGCTGATTCACTGTCATCACTTGTCTGGTTCTTTGAGGACATTTAGTATAATATATAATTAAGGAAGTATTTAAATCAAGCACATGGACAGAATAACACTTTGTGTTATGTTGTAAATAAAAATAACAAATGATTAAAAATGCCTGCAATTTGAGTTCAGAGTGAATGACTCGAATTAGCAGGGTTGTGCAGTTGCAGCAGCATAATACTAGGTCTTGGTCACAAATCATTGGGAAAGAGAATAAATAAAATAACAGATTTCATTTTCAGGAATCCTGGGCATGCCGGCCTTTGTGATCTTCAGCCCTTCTTATCTCTTACGTTCAAGCTTTATACCATTCAAACTTTTTGTGTATCAGAAGGTCATGGGTTCAAGTCCTGATGGAGCCTGACTTTAAAAAAAAAGAAGGTTGACCCAGCCTTGAATGGGTATCAGGCACAGTTCTGGGAAGTAATGGTGGCCAGCATGATGATGACCACATCACCCACCAAGTGCCGATCGGTCTGTAAAACATAGGTCTAGCCCTATGTGTCCATTACCCCAGAAGACAGGAAAAAGGGTCCTTTAATTTACTTTACTTCTCATATAAGATGAAACTCAAATACATTGTAACAACATCAACACCAGTTTCAAGGAACAAAACAAAAAGAGCTCATACTAAGAAAAGAAAAAAAAAACCAGTGACGCTAACCAAGAAATAATAGATGTATTATGAATGAAACAGTATAATCTGTGTACATAACTGTTTTGACAGTGAAAGTATGCACTCATAATTTTGTACACTAATAATAAAATGAGTGTAATAGTTACCTAAAAGTACATATAATCACTCTGTTTCAGAAAGGGAAGTGTCTCACACACGACACCGGCAACTGCATTCACAGCAAACTGCCTATCATCATGCTGCTCGTGCTAGAATTTCAGAACCTGTGCAGTCCATACACATGCCAAGACCCCATTTGATTGAGCCTGATCACCAAGGCATATATCCTGAGTCTTCAGTAAAATGCAGCTATTGTGATTGTACATTGGAAACTCGGAGCATGTTCCAAAAGCATATGAATGAATGTCATAGAGAAAAGAATGCATTGCCTTTTACGTGTTCTATGTGCCAGAAAGGATTTTTCTCACTGACTGGATTAAAGCATCACATAGAAGCTCATGGAGGTCGCCAGTTTGTGTGCAATATTTGTGATGCCAGGTTTCAGCATAAGCACAATCTAAAACGGCATGTTCTGGGAGTGCATAAGTTAAGGGAGTGTCCCGAGTGTAGCATTACTATTGCTGATGGTCCTGAATATAACATGCATGTTCTTCGATGTGGATCGGGAGGACAGTTTCCATACAGTTCAAAACCTTAAAGGAATAAAGGAATTATTGCTTCACTGAATGATTAGTTGCATGTCCTCTTCAGAGCATCACAAACAATACCAGACATTTTTGGGCATTTTGTAGTTTTACTAAGCAGTTTGGGTTCATTAGTTTGCTGACTGAATGCATCTGAAGCAATTTTATTGAAGTTCATGACATTAAATTCTCAACACAGTTGGATAGTTCCTGGAAAGAAACTGAGAAATGTTGTCATTCTGTGTTGCTAAAACTAGAATGCAAGATATCTTGTACAGTTTTAGTGTAGTGTATTCTCCAGGGTTGATGTGATCAGTGATGCCATTTAAGTGTTGAATGTGTTCTCTGCTGCTTTTTTATTTCAGATGAAAGTGCAGCAAGCATAAGCCGTGCTAACTCAGGCAGACTCTCATACTCAAGGCATGCCGATTGTGCAGGCATGAACATGACATCTGCAGATGTTCCACAGCAGTACCTGTTGGCTAGAACTGACACTTTTCAGCCACAAGATGTCATCGAAAACCAACAGCAGTGTCAGTATTGCCATGAGAAGGTATATAGCCGAGCACTTCTTCAGCGCCACATGTCCATAAGCCATGTGGATAAACTGCCTTTCTCATGTCATATTTGCAATAGAGGATTTTTCACCCAGTCGGGGCTTCAGCGACACATTGCTGACCATGGAGCAAAGAGATTTGCATGTCAGTTTTGTGACATAAAGTTCAAACGGAAACAGTATCTTGTTCAGCATTTGAAATTGATACACAGAGTGTTTCCATGTCAGACCTGCGGAAGAGTATTTCACACAAGCGAGGAATTCAATCTGCATGTTCTTCATTGCGGAAAATAGCACTTAATGTTAATGAACAGTCGATCCTTATCATAGCTTATTGACAATTTTTGCGTGATTATGATTGCTGAGACTTTTTGTTGTTGTTTGTTAACGATGAATTGAGGTACTCATGTATGTTACATAGTGTTTTCACACGAAGTTTTGAAATAGTTTTTTTGCTTACCTTGCAGATAGCTTCAAGTATTGGCCATGTATTTAGTGATCATGTACCTTTTCTGCTGTAATGCTTTTCTGCTGTTATTATGCTTTTCTGATGTGCATTCTGCCTCGTGATGCCATTTTATAGTTAAATGTGGTTATTGTTTGATATTTTGATACTTCTTAAGTGTAATACATACATACATTGTATGCGCGTTTTAAAATTTTGAGTGTAACTAAACCCTATGTATTTGACTGAAAATATATTTGAATCAGAAAATCAGAGCATTTTATCCCCCTCCCCCTCTAAATTATATTTTTAATGAAATATTGAAATAATAAAAGACAGTCACATTAACATGTTCTTTAAGATTATTTGATGATTCTCTCAGATTTACTGATTAATTACAAATTTTAACATATACACAAATGATCGGTATTGAAATGTCAGTAACATGCAGACTAATTTTTTTGGGTTGCGGTTGAATTTATGTGTATGTGCGCGTGCGAATAATTGTAAAATATTCTTCATGGTTCAGACAGTGATCTGTTTTTATACCCCAGTGGTTTTACTGTAATTAGAGTGTAGTGCAATGGTGCATGATAGAGAAAGCCGAGGGGTTTTTAAACCAAAATCAAAATGTATATCCTCTCTGCTAGTGTATATGCCTGAATTTATTTAAAAACTTCACACACGCACGCACCTGCACTCACACACACTCGCGCGCGCAGCCCCCTCCCCTAAAAGTATTTTTGAGCAGCCACCTATTTTTTTTTTCATTTTCAGTTAAATGGTAATATAGCAATGAACATTATACATATGGCAAACGCTATTGACTGGGCTTAACGGAACACAATAAAACAGCATTAATATTTGCTAAATAATTAAGAGCAGGAAAGATAAGTGAAACCCAACATTTTGTTTATATTTCAGGGCAGTCGATTAAAAGACTGAGAGATCAACATCATGAAAGTTTTGGAGGCAAATATTATTCATCCTTGCATTCTCCAAGTGATATTGGCGCACCACATTCGTCCGACAGCATTTCCAACATGTCAGCAAATGTCCTCCCATACCCCACGAACTATAACCGGAATTCACCCCTGTTTTCCAGTATCTCTTGTCCCATTTGTCAAGAAGTAGTGGCTGACAGTAGAAGCTTCAAGTCTCACATGTCCATTTTTCATGGCCAGGCAATGCCATATCCATGTACTTTGTGTGGAAAGGGTTATGCCAGTGAGTCAGGACTATCACTGCATAAACAAGTTCATGAAGGAAAATCGTATGTGTGTCCGGTGTGTGACTCTAGATTTACTCAAAATAGCACAATGAAGAGGCACATGAGGACTCTGCACAAAACAACAGAGTGCTTTACATGCAAAGGCATATTCAAGCTTGGAACAGAATATGAGCAACATGTTTTACATTGCACTTCATAGATGTGGGTGTTGTTGTGTATTGACGCTGGGCATTGTCGAAGTTTGTGTGCAGATATTTAAATATTGTTCTGACAGAAAATAGTATATAGACATGTGTTGATGAATACTTGTGTTGATAAATACTTCTTTGTGTTTGTTTTTGTATGATTTAAATCGATGACTTTAATTCTTTCATTCCATAAAATCTCATCGACAATGTGTGATGAGTACTTAGACAAAAGCAGTAAAGCATTCACGCATTACTGGGGGGGGGGGGGGGGGGGGGAAGAGCATATAATTTAGAACATAAAACATCCTGTGTTGAATTTTTAAATAATGGGTCAAATGTTTATCACAAAATCGGATCACATCATGCGTTGTTTCTTACACTTGGCTGATAACTGATCACAACAGATGATGTCTGGGTTGAGTCTAAAGAAAGAGTTAATACAGGTATGAAAATCAAAACGTTCTTCATGCCATTTGTTCCGTTAGAATGTGTTAGTATGGAAGATTTGTATTGAATTATTTCATTTAACTTTGAAGATTCTCTACAGTAATTATTCTATTATTGGGACATCTTAAAGATGTCATCACTTTTTCATCAGGTTTATCACTCTCTGGACACCGTTAGAGATATATATACACGTGCACACACAAACACCACTTGGTGTGCTCCGATGGTGATGATTATTGTGGAAACTAATGTTAAACATAATTTTTTCTGAAGATAATAGGTATCACAAGTTTGCAGATAAAAAAAGTTGAAGAGTTATTTTTGGCAAAGTGATTATCTTGGTTGTGGGTTCATTTCATGGATGAGTCATTCAGTTCGCAAGTGCAGTTTTTACAGAGATCCTTGTGGATTGTCAATGGAGTTATGGAGTTCATGCTTTATGGGACACTCTTTGCAGGTGGCTTGCCACTCTGTGGAGAGAGACCAAGCCCTATGAATAAAAAATCTGGCTCTTGAAAGAGGAAGCAGCATCTGCTTTGTTGTTGTTGACCTTGGTAACAGTGTGATTCTTTGATTCTTGTTTCAATATTGCAGTTGTGTTGTGAGATCAGTTGAAACATTTCCAAAGTGGCATCTGTTAAATGAATTTGCAATGCTGTACTTAATACATTGTTCTGCACACTGTATGATCTTCTTGCTCCTAAGTCCTCTTATTGTTGCTAGAGATAAGCATTGTTGTCCATTATGGACTCATATAAAGTGGACCTGACTTGTTCATATGTGAAAGACACCTGCTTAATTGTTTGTGTACAGAGTAAATGTTAATCGAGCATTGTTCTCTTTATGTTATGAATCATTGTGAATTTGTTTGGCTCATGCAGTTTACATAAAAATATGCATATATCATCTATTTTTTTTATAGTTTATACTGCCATCTTAAGTTACTTCACCTTTTGGATCTGAATAATGATTCCACGTTCATGACTTTATAGAAATAAGGTAAATATGTGTACTGACATGTCTGAAGTGTGAGAATTGGACCATTCTGTCAAAGATACTGTGTTTCTTCAGTACGCCTATAAACAGTGTCTTATCCCTATGTACGATTTGCAGTTTCAGTGTCTAGATTATGCAGGTTGTTCAGATGAAGAATGGGAGTGTTATGTTAGTACAGATAAACAGAGCAGCCAGCAGGGAAATGAATTTTAATGTTGTTTTGTTTCAGAAGGAGCTGAACGCCATCTGCCATGGAAACGTAATCATCCAAAGTCTCGCAGCATGTTCACAGTTCCACATGAGGCCTTTCTTTCAACTGGGACCGATCTCACTTCAAATGAATACTCTTCTTCGTCACAGCAAATGACAAATCTGTGTTGCCCTCACTGTCTAATCATTATGGAAAGCATGGACTCGCTAAAGGCCCACATTACAGACGTGCATGATAATCAGATGCCATATACCTGCTCCTTATGTGGGAAAGGGTATCTCAGCTCAGGTGGTCTCTACCTGCATAAACAAGTCCATGCAGGCAAATCATTTTCATGTCCAGTTTGTGACTTGAAGTTTGCACAGAAAAGCAGCGTTAAGCGACACATGAATCGATCGCACCAGTGCTGTCAATGTGCTGATTGCTTAGCTGTTTTCCCCCTTGGAATGGAGTATAACCAGCATGTGTTATGTTGTAGGAAATTATGAAAAATAATTTCACAGAATATTCCTTTTACGAAGCCAGTCCTCAACTGTGTTTGGCAGACGACTTTACCAAATATAATTAGCTGTCACCTTAACTACAGAAGTGTGTCTCAAACATAAATTGTGATCATTTGAAGTGAAATACATTTGTTATTAGTTGACTTTGATCTGTATTTTTTAAATTGAATAGCATACTTTGAGTAGCTGAAGAATTTTAACAAAATTTGTTGGTTTTCTTTGATACCCAAAACACCTGTTTGAAAATGTTTCAAGCATTACATGGAAATATGTAGTGGTTTTTAATATATTTGAGGTGATCCTTTAACTAAACATTGATTGGTTTAAAGCATGAGACCTATCCGTCAGTGACTTTAAATGTTTATTTGTTTCAGGAAATGTACTTTCCAGTCATTCCTGGCCTTCTAGTAGTAGCAGTTCATTGTCGGCTGGGAACTCCAGATTAGCTTCACACTACCCGCAGTCCAACTTAATTTATCCAAGTGAACTGCCAGCGGCATCGAACTGCCAATGTCCTCATTGTGCAGCCATCTTGGCATCAGCAGCTTTCCTGAAAGCTCACATGTCAGAGGCCCATGGCAATGTCATGCCATACACATGTTCCCTTTGTGGGAAGGGATACCTGAGCTCTGCTGGCTTGCATCTGCATAAACTCTTGCACCAGGGGAAATCATTTGACTGTCCTGTGTGTGACATGAAATTCTCCCAGAAGAGCAATCTGAAACGACACCTGGCTCGTGTTCACAGTCTTGCTGTCTGCTTTACCTGCTCAGATATGTTCTCCCTGGGGCTTGAATATAATCAGCATGTCTTGCATTGTCAGAAATGAACATATCCTAGCCCAAACAATTGAGACTTCTTTGTTATCATTTTTTTAAATGGTGGAAACAAATATTTGCTGATCATTATCTGTTGTGTACAGAATATTTTATTCGATTATCATCTTGATCCTGTGTATGTTTTAAGTGAATAGAAATATAAATATGAATTGTTTGTTTTTGAAAAACAATTTTTAAAATACTTAAAATTGCTGCTCACCTCTTTAGTGATGGCAGTAGCAAGAATCTCTCAATGGGTATATCGGAAACATCATAATTTGTCATCATTTGTTTGATCCTAACAAAGAAAAGTGGAAGAATTGCAGTGTTTTTTTTTTGGGTTTAAAAAAAAAACTTGTATGGGTAGAGACCACACAGAGATCAGTTATTACTTTTATTGAATTGTTCGGCACAGCTCTGGATAAAATTTTATGGCATGTTACAGTGAATTTATATGAAATTCTCTTCTTTTTTAACACACGCACGCGCCTTTATGCGCGCACACTCACACACAGAGCCAAGGATGAACATTTATGCTGGTTTTTTTTCTTTTCTTTTTTTTTAACACACGCACAGAACCAAGGATGAACATTTGTTCTGTTTTAAACTGTGAAAAGTGCTTACGAAAGAGTTGAATTGATGCTATGAGTTTATGAAATATGAGGATAAATGTTTATCTCATGCATGAGGTGGTATTCATGATTCAAAGCTTGTGTGGAACAAACTGAAGATGAGCTGAACTGGGACATCCAGTTTTTGTTCACGGCGTCATTGCCAAAATCAGAGAATGGATAAGCGAAGACCAACATCTGACTAAAGATGATGGCAGAAAAATAAATATTGATTATAAAAAACTTCTCATCTATTCAGCTGTTGACAAGAGGACTTGTCATGGGTTTCAAACAGAAATAATGTTTATCCTTGGCTCCATGCTGCACAAGTAACGATGCATTTGTCACTAGCTAAGCAAAATGGCGGGTTATTTTTTTTCTGTCAGTGCAGGGTTACACTTTTGCCAGATCATAGATAAGTGGTGTCTGTTTAGATGATATTTTCTGCATTTCATAAATGCATTTTTTTGTTTTGGTGATAATAAAATCGGTCACATTGTTTAAATGTTGACTGTGTATGCTCACAACATAATTAAAAGCCCGTCTTGGATATTGAATTTTCATTAAAAAAAAATGAATTAACTAACTTGTGCTATTTAATTATTTGTTCTATAGTCAGTCATTTGTCAGCAAGGTGTGATGTATGATATTTCTTTGTCTCAGTGCCAAGAAGAGTTCTTTTTAACAGCGGCAATGGTAGTGAATGAACCACAGTTGACTCCTTTCCAGTGTTTTGTATTTGTGTGCATGTATGTGTCCAGTTCAGTGTATAAGTCAAGTAGGCTGGTTATTGAATGTGAATATATTTTCTTTTCAGGAAAACATTTCCTTGGATGGAGATCAGCTAGTACTAGCTCCAGATTAAGTTACGATTATAATGACACTCTTTCAATATCTGGCAGAGGCAACATAGAGCAGCCTAATGTAAACAGAGTCATCATGGCTGCTGAACAGAGTTTGCAGTGCCCAAACTGCTCAGAGATGCTGACAGATCTAACTTCCTTGGCCCAGCATGTTTCTCATTGCCAGAGGAGCACAGGAGTGTATGTCTGCTCTTTATGTAGCAAAGTTTACAGCACAACTACAGGCCTCAAGCACCATATGGAGGTGCACGAGGGGAAGACTTTTATGTGTCCCATATGTGATTCTAAGTTTACACGTAAGGGCACTGTGAAGACTCATATGCGAGCAGTGCATGCCTCAGCCCAGTGTCTCAACTGTGCAGCCATTTTACGTTTGGGAGATGAGTTTAATCAGCATGTTATTCATTGTACGAAGTAGTAAAACATATTGTAATATAAAATGCAATTGTTGTATTAGTTCTGCAGCTTTCTTTGTGTCGCCTAAAGGTTAGTGAAATGGTTTCACAATACAATGCTTGGCATTTACCAGGATTCAATTTGCCCGGTGGGTGGTTTAGCAAAAAGGCCCTACTTGTGGCTTCTGGACAGTAGTGTGAGAGTCACACAGCAGAAGAAAATGGGACCTTTCCATGTTAATACTCCCATAGTTAGCCGTGGTTTCACTGCAGCCAACCTCTATTGTGGATATGGAAAAATTTGTACTTATTATTATTATTAACTTAATAATATTTAATAATGTAAATGGGTTTTTAATGTTTGCCCTTTTTATATGTGCTGTCTTGACAGTGCGATTGGCTGCAGTGGATTTGCACATTTACTGTTGTCGTTGAATATTACATAGTGAAGCCCTAAGTCTCTTCCATAATGCAACCATCATACCACTGTCTGAAAGCCACAGAAACAGCCTTTGTAAGCCATTAGATTAAAGGTCTCACGAAAGCTGTATGATTATTCACTATCAGATAACTAATTTCTGTTACTGAAATTGCTCAGATCTGATTGTTAGCCCCTTGTTGTTTGTTGGTGGCATATTTTGGTGCAGTTGTTTATTTAGTCTTGCTCATTCTCATCATTACATTATTAGGACCCCTGTGAAGCATATAGAAGATACATTTAAAAAGTCTGCCCAAAAACTTTTTAAAGTCATCTTACATCTTAGTTGTTGTTGCAACTATTTTTAAAAATTTAATCTGGAGTTTATCAGTCTGTCATAGATGATAAATATTGTTGAACTAAATTTTTTTGTTAAAGCTTTGTCATGACTGAATGCAAAACATAATGAACATGTAATATAAAGAGCATGTAACAGTTAAGCAGTTGTGAATATTCTGTTTTATCTTTTTAACACACACTTATTTAGTTCATATTGAGTTTTGTTACTGTTCTATTATTTTGTGTAAATTGTATTCTTGATTGTTGTTATTTTAGTGGGTGAGTCTTTGTTATAATAAATACTCTGTTCTGTAAATTGCGTAAATATAACTCGTCATACTGACCGATAAGCATCTGATGTTTAGTATCTGTATGATATATCAGCATGGTCGATGTTTCCCCAAAACATACTTGACATCTTGTTTGTGTAACTGTCACTTGTTCTAAGCTCAGTGTAGCAAGACAACATTGAAAATGAGGTGTGGTGTATTTCTTATATTTCAGAACTTTTTCACGGAAAGCAAACCTGGCCGGAAGATAGGGTTGCAGCCTCATCATCTTCGACATCCTTCAGTCATGTGTCTGGTAAAATAAGAGTTAGAAGGAGCACAGCGTCTGCATCTTATTCAGGCACAGCAGAATTTTCAGGTGCCCAGTCACTGTTGAATAAATCATGGGAGGATAATCAGGCAGCAGCAGGAGAGAGTTATGTGACCTGCACCCACTGCTCAGCAGAATTTTATAACAAGCATGACCTAAAAGCCCATATATCTTCCCAGCATGGTCAGCATATGCCGTACACTTGCAGCTTGTGTGGCAAAGGGTATCAGACTTCCATGGGGCTCATATACCACAAGAGGGCTCACGAGGGCAAAGTGTATCCGTGTCCTGTATGCGATGCAAAGCTGACTCGAAGTAGCTCTTTGAAGTCTCACCTGAGAAGCATTCATTTTGTAACTCAGTGTGGATCTTGCTCAGGCATCTTTAAACTGGGATTTGAGTACAATGAGCATGCACATCATTGTGTCCCCCAAGTGATTTGAAAGCTTAATACCAGATGTGGTAAATTTTCTGTTATTGTCTGCCTTGTGCTTGAGATTCTTACCTATCAATTCATACATAAAAGTATTCATGTTTCCAGCAGACTTTTGTATCCTCATTTTGTTTACCTGAATCTGTTTCTTTGTGAAAGTCGTAACAGATGGAAAGATGCCGTCAGCTAGGCACCAATACAACTATCCAACCCCAACAGCACACTGGAAAACAGTAGCTGACTCTCATTAGAAAAGCGTGCAGTTATTACAGATTTCAATCTCTTAAGCATATTGTATCAACACTTTTATTAATGTCCTAATTAATAAGTTTTATATTGATATAATTTCTTATTTAATTTTTATTAATCTGTTTTCGTTGAGAATGTTCATAAATTGATTTCTGCAAAATATGGACTTGTAGTCACCATCTGTGGTCGGCTTTCATTATCTATGGTGGTCAGCATTAATGCTGTCTTGAGACTGCACATTAATGAGTGCCAGAATACTGGGTCTCATGTGACATGTTAATTTATATTTGCATATCCGTTTTCGCCCCTTGGTAATGATAATCAATGACAATTTTTTAAATAAAATATGATGATTTCCTGATTTCGTTTACATGGTTCAATACAAAAATAAACTTGGACTTTTTATGAAGAACCCTGTTGGTTATTTGTTTTTGAATAAAACTTCATGTTCTTTGACTGCTGATGACAGTTGCAAAAGTGAAATCTACAAAGGGACTGCATTATTTTTATTGAAAGTTTATCATTCTCTCTGTCTCTTTCTCTCGCTCTCTCTCTGCATCTCTCCCCCTCTCTCTCTCTCTTTGTCTGTCTGCATATCTCTCTCTGTCTGTGAAAACTAAAAGCTAGGTAATCATTCCAGAATAGGTCTCCAAGGTGAAGTGAGTAAGCTGCTTACCCCATGGCTGTACAGGTTGTGAAACGATACCAAACCTAACGAAAAGTAGAACCAGTCAGCTTCACATTGTCACAAAACAAAACAAAAAAATTAACACTGTAATAAAGAACCTTCATCAACACATTACATGAATATACAATACCACAAATATGAAAAAAAGAACACACAAATATCCCTTCCCCGAAAAGGGAAATCCACGTCTAGCAAGCTAAATTGCTGACACGCGTGTGGCCTCCGGAAATATGTACTAGTCAGTTAGACTGTGAACTCAAGTATTTAGAGAGCGAGAGGCAGGCCTACTGGATGGCGTAGTAAAAAAAGGAACAGGTGGCTAATAGAAGATGAGAACGATAAAAATAAATTAAAAAGAATGAAATAATTAAAAGGAAATATGAAAAATACAGTGCAGACAAGTTAGACAGGCACAAACAGATAGTAAAAGTAAAAGCTGTAAATAGTGTGGTTTTAATATCAGACCTTGTTTATCTTAGATTTGGATTGTAGTTGGTTTGGGAATCACTAAAGGCTAGTTCTGGATCTGTAGAATTTCATCTTTGCATGTCATTTTTCTGAGAGAGAAAGAGGGAGAGAACAGCCTTTATAAGATATTACCTGTTGCTGAGTGTTAAGAATTGACATTACAGTGCTCGGGACATTCCTATAAGCACTTAGTCCTCATCTTCAGCATCCACTGAAGAACCTGGTGCTATGAAACTGTAGAGTACCAGAATTTTAATATGAAATCTGAAGATACAGAATTTCATACTTGTATGATGTTTTCCATATAGATAGCAGACCATATAATAACAAACCTGTTTGCTATGAAATTTTATACTTGAATGATTTGCCTCTACAACTTGGCACCTGCAAATGCAGAATAAGTGCTTCAAAACTAAACTGTATACAACTGACAGAGAAGCAGTCTGGCCTTTTCTTACCTCAGTCAAGACAAAGCTGTATGGTACGCAGGAAGATCTGAATTGAACCACAGCTTTAATCAAGGCAGCTAGCCTCATATGTTTTATTATAGAAGTATCGAAGATTTAAAACCTAGCATTGTCCAGATATAGAGCTACAGAAGTATCAAAGAAGTAAAACCTAGCATTGTCCAGATAGCTACAAAAGTATCGAAGAAGTAAAACCAAGCATTGTAAAGATAGAGAGCTACAGAAGTATCGAAGAAGTAAAACCTAGCATTGTCCAGATAGAAAGCTACAGAAGTATCGAAGAAGTAAAACCTAGCATTGTAAAGATAGAGAGCTACAGAAGTATCGAAGAAATAAAACCTAGCATTGTCCAGATAGAGAGCTACAGAAGTATCGAAGAAGTAGAACCTAGCTTTGTCCAGTTAGAGAGCTACAGAAGTATCGAAGAAGTAAAGCCTAGCATTGTCTAGATAGAGAGCTACAGAAGTATCGAAGAAGTAAAGCCTAGCATTGTCTAGATAGAGAGCTACAGAAGTATCGAAGAAGCAAAACCTAGTATTGTCCAGATAGAGAGCTACAGAAGTATCGAAGAATTAAAACCTATCATTGTCCAGATAGAGAGCTACAGAAGTATCAAAGAAGTAAAACCTAGTATTGTCCAGATAGAGAGCTACAGAAATATCGAAGAAGTAAAGCCTAGCATTGTCCAGATAGAGAGCTACAGAAGTATCGAAGAAGTAAAGCCTAGCATTGTCCAGATAGAGAGCTACAGAAGTATCGAAGAAGTAAAACCTAGCATTGTCCAGATAGCTCCAGAAGTATCGAAGAAGTAAAACCAAGCATTCTCCAGATAGAGAGTAGGCCAAAGAAGATCAAACATGTTGCAATGAAATGGAACCGCTTACCTTTATACACATTTTAACTCCTGTTAGTGCCAGGCTCGCTAGCGTAGTTGGCTAAACCTGACTTCACGGTGACCAGGTGACGAACTCCTTGTCCAGGTTCACGCCCGGGGGTAGGCAGAAAAGTCACATTTCTCCCAGATTTATGGTATCTATCATGGAATCAAGGCTGAAGGGTTGTGATATCCATAATACCGAGCCTAAGGGTTAACAACTCATGGCTTCTGGATACTTGAAAGAAAAAAAAAAACTTGTTAAGAAAATGTGCTTTATTTTGTTTTTTATTAATCTTTGTTTCTGACAGAGATACTGAAATACGAAAAATTGTATTTTGCCTATGTTCGGATCCAACAGTATATGATACACGCTTTCAACTCATTTCACCAAGATGTAATTTTTAGTTCCCATCTGTTGTTCACAAGTAAATGTCAAAAGTAAAAACAAATGATCAAAAGTAAATTCTGTTTTCTGTGAACTTAC